CTACTCTCGGCCATAATATACGGTATACCTAATTGGCTATTATATAGTATACTATCTTATACTGTATTTTTGCAAACATTATGGGTTTTCACTTATTTCTATATATTGTGCTATTATTTTAAAATTAAATTCATATCAATTCACAACAAAATTCAAAGATTAAATAATAATTTACAAAATATTTTATCAATAATAAAGATTTTTAATGCTTTTTATTGCGAAATCAATGAATGCAATGCTAGTTACTGGTCAAAATATTTATTATCAATTTGGTTTTGCTTTGGATTTACAATCGTGTTTGGTCTTTATTTTGTCGCATTTAGCAAGCTCATTTTAGTTGTGCGAATAATTTTTGGTATTGTAGCAATATTTGCAATTATAATATTTACAATGTTCATTTTGTTGGTCTCATCGCTAAATACTTTAGCGCATAAATCATATAAAATATTTGTTTCGTATTTTATTTGTCAATTATGTAAAACACGGTTAAATACACTCTCGAAGCCTAGCCATGGTTCCGCTCAAATAGTTTAAATATTATGTCAATAAGGTATTTTTAACAAAATATTAACTTAGTTGTTAAGATTTTAGCTAACATTTTTAAATGTATTATATATTTCTATTTAGAATAATTACAATATTTCTAATACAAGGGCTAGGTGATTTGATATAATTTAATATAATTTTAATATTATTTTATGTCTATATCGTTTATGTAAATTACCAGCTATAAAGCATTTAATGCACTTTATTTTCTTTATTTTATAATAATTAATAATTTGCTTTAAATATTTAGTTAATATTTTATTTAAATATTTGAATTAAAACGGTAAAACCCATTTCTCGTTAAATTATTTGAGCATTTAATATTAACCAAGTATATTTTAACCCTTGAAATGTTTTTGTGTGTTTACTATTATTTTAACCATGATACTATTTAATTTGTCTATTTTTGAAAGTCTTATACGTTAACCTGTTTGACTTAAAAATAACATAAGATAATTATGCCATAGTTTAATTATAATTATAAATTAAATAGACAATTATAAACTCGCAAAAACAAACAAAAAGTAACCAAGGTTTTATTAAATTATTATAATATAATAGTATTTTAATTTTTATGTTTTATAATATATTTTATAAAATATATTTCGTAAGAATTTAATAACAAAAGGTTTTTAATGATTAGTTTCCATAGCAATAAATACCACCTATACGGTATAAACTGATTAAAATAACTTGCTAATGATTCATACGTAATTAATTATTATAGTATTAAATTAGTTTGATGTTTATGTGTCATGCGATGTTATATGTTACAATTTCACAACTCTTTATTGAGCATTGTAAAATTTAATGTTTTAATAAAATTAATTAATCCGGATCACTTTATGATGTATGATAAATGTATAGCTCGCGTGTAATTAGTAACATTATTATTGTTATATATTGTATAATATTTAATAATTAATCAGTTTGTTCATAAAAATATATAATTACTTGAATGTAATATTTCATGTTCATTATTAGAGCATAGTGATAATAAAAGTGATAAAGGTAATAATAATTATAACAACTATTATTTGCACTAATTTGAACTTCATACTTCAAATAAAAATAAATAATTGTTTATGTGTTAGTGAATATACTTAATAAACAACATTAACTAAAATACTTTTAAGTGTTAATTAAACATGTCATAATATTTACCATAACTTAATATTTAATTAATTCCAATCAACCATGGTGGCAATTAATTATTTACAGTACATTTGGTGCGTTGGTAGGCACAGAAACACCACGATCAGCCCACTATCATTGGCAGTGATCTCGTTCAATTTATCACTATATTTATTAACATTCGGCATAATTACCATAATAAGCGGTGTTATTGTGCGAGAGGTGTCGACACCGCCGGCACCGGACAGTCCGGACAATGACAACCCTCGCAATACATACTCTATGGGAACTTTAATGTTAATTTGCGGCAGTGTTTGCATCTGGTTTGGCTTTATATTGTTAGCAGGGGCGATTATTAGGTTTCATTGTAAAAATTCAAGTCATCGTAGTAATAATGTTACCATGGCCGATATTGGTAGTGGTGGTGCTATTGTGAATCATGTTGATGGATTTGATTGGACTCTAGTGCGGCCGCCACCTTATTCCCGGTCTCCGAGTGAGCAGGGATAATTAATGATTAATATTATGTTGTTATAGAAACAAACATAATAGATGAATAATAATTTAACTATGTTAGTTTAACAAAGTGTGTAGGTGTTTGTGTTAACAGATATTTATCTTATTCGTTTATACGCGCATTTATAAACCTCTAGATTATTTTTAATTACAATTTACCATATTTAATTAATACTGTCATTAATTAATTGAACTAGATGTAAACTTAAGAACAAATTAAAAATATTAAATGTACCTTATCCCCGGTTAACCGTATATTTAATACCACTCCGTCTTAAACGGAGCCGTATATTATAAACAATTACTTTTCATTGATTGTAGAACTTTTGATTACAATTTTGTATTATTTATTATAACTTTACATACTTTACATGTTATGCAAAGTATGTTAAGTAGTGCCATAAATGAGAATCAATTGTTGTTGCGTTTCGTATTTGTTTCTAAAGGTTATATTGTATATAAATTAATACAATATGTTAATAATAAATATGAAATTATTTATGTTAATAAATAAATTATAATAAAAAATTCAATTAGTTTTTGATATAAATATAATATACGTATATTATGAGTGTAGTTATAATAATTTCATTTTGATATGCAATACCATTTGTTTTATTCTATCAAATTATCAAAATTTAAAAATTATATTGTTCCCAAAATATAAGTCATACTATATTTTAAATCTAGTTTAACACCGGGTTACTTTCCAACAACTATGTTGACCATTATACTATTTAAAGAAATGTTGTTGAAAACATTACTATTGTGTGGATTTCTATACCAAACCTATGAAATCAGTTTAATATACTTTTCATACGAAACCACAACTAATGTCAAGTTTAACTATAACTTCACTTTACCGGCTCTCACGATATGCATGTATACCGAGCACCTGATACGGTCTGAATTGAAGCCAAAATACTACGATAAGGATGGTGATTTTGACACAGATATATTTGCCAATCAATCCATAAAGGACCAAATGGATCAACTCGTAGACTTTGATCATGTATTTAGATGTTATGTATTAAATCAAAACCAGGTGAAAAATTGCAGTTCAATAGCGCCGTTTCGCAGCTCAATGTGTTTTAATAGTTATTTCTCTTGTGTGACAATATTGTCTCAATGGACGGGTGAGTCGGATGCGCGCTATGCTGTGAAAGCAAGTGATCACATTATTAACGATGCGGCCTTTATATTGCAAATTGATAATAAATCATTGACCAAGTACCTAAGGGTTCACGTGCACTCACGCCACGAACGGCAACGGATAAACCGTCGTCCTGGTGATTTGCAAATTAACACAATCAATAAAAATGATGTAATAATCTCTTACCGCAAATATATTGTCAAATTAAATTACATGTTAAATAGCGATAATTGTTTAGTGAGTGAAACACGTCATGAATGCGTAATGGTCTGCATTATACGAGAAGTAGATCGACAACATGGCCAATTTCCCAATTATATATTACGATATGGTGATGATTTTGATAATAGGCATCATGCAAACAAAACAAAGAATTATTATAAATCGATCAAAAATATTAAATTAATTTGCGAACAAGAATGCAATGAAAAAATAGAATGTATTCAAGACTATTATATCAGTCAATACAAAGCTGACAATTCAAAAAATGATTATGTTAGTATTTTCATGACTATACCCGTCGAACCCAATATAATATACGAAATATCATTGAAAATGTCATTCGAAGAGTATTTGGCATTCATTGGATCACTTCTGGGCCTATGGTTTGGTGTATCGATCCTTATGTTCACTAATCTATTCATACAATTATTTATTAAATATAAAACCTTTATCTTCAAAAAACCGGTAATTAATATTAATAATAATAACGTAGCACTTTTTGGTATAACAAATAATATACATTCAATTAGTGGTAATTCAATACAAACGCGAGTTTCGCGTCCCATAACTCGACGCGTCAATCAAACACTATAACAGCGTAAATGCTGTATGTGTTTTATAAATCATGTTTAAATTGACAAAACACAAATTTAGCAATAATAAATCAATATAAATTGTAACCTGCAAATTTATATAGTGTTATATTATGTTTACGTACATTTATATCACGACAAAGATACAGTATACTTAAAGAAAGTTTGTCATATGATCGCCAATATAGCCCTATATTGGAGTGGCTAATAAAATTATATTGTTTATAACTGGAGCAATTATTATGTTCTACTGTAAAAATCCAAGTCATCGTGCTAATAATAATATTGCGCTGAACCATAATGTCCGTGGTGATGTAATTTTGAATCATGTGGGTAATTTTGATTGGACTCTAGTGCGGCCACCACCTTATAGCCGGTCTCTAAGTAAACAGGGTTAATTAATTATTAACATTATTTTGTCATAGAAACAAACATAATAAATGTATAATAATTTAATTATGTTAGTATTATCTATAAGAAAACAAAGTGTGTAAATGTTTGTGTTAACAGACATTTATCGTATTTATTTATATCTTTACACGCATTTATGAATTAATTTTCTATAAATATTTATTATTTAGCCCATTCAACATGATGATTTTAGACATATTTTATCATAATTAAATAAAGTCAATGAATATTATAAACAAATTTAACTTTTTATTATGAAAAGTTGTTAATGTTAAAGCTAGCAAATTTGTAGATTATTTTTAATTACAATTTACGATTTGTAATTGAAATTTAACACTGTAATTATTTAATTGAACTAGATGTAAAGAACAAATTAAAAGCATTAAATGTAAACACAAATAAACATATTAAATTATAGAATCGTGATTCATTTTTATTTGTTCATTTTATTTTTACGAAACTCGTCGGTTATTTTGCAAAACTCATCGTACGGTGTGACTACTTTGTTAACAACGGGGTCCGATTGTATTGCATTGCGATATGTGTACAGTACAGGTAACTTATTGTGAAAATACTTGTCCGAGTTGTGACCGGAAAAGTCCACACATAGGGGCAACAAATGAACAAAAGGGGCGATCTTATAATCGGTAAGACCCGGCTGATCAACACCTGTATAGTTTATAACAAAAATAAAACTAGGTTAAAAATAAAACATTAAAATTAATAGATGTTACCAACCTGATAAATACCGGTCACCTGCCAAACGTTTATTTAACATGCTATTAGCTTTGGCCAAATTAACCTCGATCTCTGGCCAAAGTGCGGCCAAATCCGGTTTAGTGAACACATACTCCAGGCCCACAAAGTACTGGTGTATTGTCTCGACAAATGCCCGATCGCTGGCCCGTTGGTATGGGTCGGGTGAGGCCAGGGTTCGGGCGCCCGGTATTGTTTCATCAAGGTAATCGGCGATTATTAATGACTCATTTAGTAGGTCGCCAGCCGGGCCCATTTCCACCACGGGCACTTTTCCAAGTGGGTTACGCTCTAGAAACCATTCGGGTTTGTCCCAGATGTTTATGTTTATTATTTCGTGTCTACATAAAATTGTTATAAAATTTATGATAATAGTGCAACAAGGTTGATATTAAAATTATAATTGATTATAATGTTTACAATAGATTTTTTTAGTTGATTAATTATTAATTTACTTATTACCATAATAAAACCGCTAATTAGCTATGTAATATAAAGTGCACTAATTAAAAAATTACATGTAATAGGTTCAGATTGAGAGAGAGAGAGAGAGAGAGAGAGAGAGAGA